CACCGAACCAAAGTGCTCCCTGTCTCCTCTACATACCTTATACTTGTTTATCACTTTGTCTCTATTAAAACTAGTTTGTAGTGTCTGGTTCTCCTTTCCTCATTGCATAACCATCTCCAACTGGGAATTTTAACTCTTCTTACACCTTCAGTGGTATCTCTTCTATGAAGTGTTCTGTTATAAACAAAGTCACATAATGAATCCATTCTTCTCCAAAAGAAATACCATTTAGTTTTGCCATTTAAATACAGATCAGTGTTAACTGTCTGTGTAGTGAACATCGTCCTGCACTGTAAGCACTTGGAGGACAAGAAGCGTGTCATTCCACCTTTGCACACCCAAAAGCTCCCCATTTGGGGTACTGGTTATAACAGGCTCTCAGAGTCTCTCTGCTGAGTCTAATGAACAAGTGAATCTGTTGTGTAAACAGATCAGGTCTTCTGAATGTCTAGCACACCTGGAACTCTTCTGCGTCATTCCTTTCCTCCTCTCCATTCACATAACAAAACATTCTGCTCCTTTTCAGACACAAGCCCATCAAACACCTGTATCATCATTACCAACACAAATTCAACTCACACTTTTTATTAATGTTGAAAGTATTATATTCTGTATGTTTACAATAATTTCAAAGAGAACACCTGTTACTTAAGTGCCCTTATTTTCAACCTCTTGAGGGCAATTTATTCATTACTATATTAAAGTCAGCTGTTTAATAACTTATAACGCAGGGAGAAAATATAAATTGGAGCCACTGTCATCATACTGTACATCTAAAATTAATTTGTTTTTCCACTTACAATTCTTTATTAATCTCCTAATTTCAAGTCTCTGTTAGGACTAATTGAGAAAAAGTAATGCAAAATAATGAAACAAATGGGAAGAGGGGTGTTGCTGCCAAAGTTTTATTCAACTTCAATATTTCATTAAATATGCTATCCTTGACTCAGAATGCATGCATATTACCACAATTTCATAAGTTTAATGCTCTTTTTCTTCTTTATGTTATAAGCCCCCCCATGAATAAGATCATTTATCTATCAAACAATTAAAATTCAGAACTTTGTATGATAAAATAAATCTCATCTCCTGAAATAAAAAAGTTACACAAACTGAATCAAAGCAGGAACATTTTGAGGCTCGCCTGGCTACAAAGGGAGTTCAAGGTCTGTATGAACTATATCGTGAGTCCCTGTCTCAAAAAGAAAAAAAACAAATCAGGAACATCTTTAAGATGTACTGTATTAGGTTATAAGAAGCTGTGTAATTTTTACACTAAAATGCCAAGATGTTTATATACATGATAAGAACTAAAACCCATTACAATAAAAATATGCATTTAGAAGGTTGTTGGATTCCACTATGAGAAACGCTTAAGCACAGGAAATGCAAAGGACAGGGGAAATGCTAGACCTGGGGAAGGACACAATATTAACACAACTTTAGAAAGTTTATGTTGCATGAATTACCAAAAGGAACGAAGTATAGTCCTTTGGATAAACTACGTAGGATCTGGTTGAGAGTTAGTAGCCACATTTAGGAGAATCTTAAGTAAGAGTGGAAGCATACCTATTTTTATATTCCTTGAAGTGAAGTTGGTTCTAAAATACTTAATTTAAGAGTGAAGCATAGCTCAGGGAAAGATTAGGCTGGTCAGCATGTACTGAGTTTGCACCAGTCCCAGGTAAGAAGAAAAATAACTTCATATGAAATAAAGAGAAAGAGTCCTAGCTAACTAGGTGTCACCATCACCACAGACTGCTACCATTTCTGGAGTAACTGCCCTGTACCAAGGATTGCTTTGGGGACTTCACTGTAGTATTTCTTTTTATTCCATTTTATTTTTTCAATAAGCCTTTCCAGATAGGTGTTATTATTTTCACTTTAGGGATGGGAACACTGAGAGATGAAGAATTTTTCCTAGGTCGCAACGATGATGACAGTGATGTAGTAAATAAAGAAAAAGGCAGTTTTATTGAAGAACAGCGTCATAAATAAAATTATGAAAAACACCACCGAAGTAAAACTACATAAATACACCAGAGAAGCCACAGACGCAGGAATGTTGACGGTTTCTCCATGCTCCCCGACATAGCCAATGATGCCTTTGCCCCAGGGGACCTGCACCTCATTTTGTCTAACCAGAGAAAATGAAAACAAGGTGAACCAAGATCTTAAGCCCCAATTCATGCAGGTTGCTTCCCCTCCTCGCCTCTTTTCACCCCTCCAACAACCTACTCTTACTTCTGGTCGCCATTCTACACTGGAGGGCAAGGGGAAAAACTTCTCTCTTCCAGTGGCTGAGTTCAGATATTAAGCGGCAAGTTTGCTTTACACCCTGACTGCACAGTAAGGACAGAGCTCACAGGAAGCAACAGCTGCTGGAAACCTGATTTTCATCGCCTGTGATAACACTCACAGCCACGATTCTAGGCAGCAGGAAGACAAGTTAACTGTCTGAGAGGCCAAGAATTATGCTCTTAAAGAAAGGGCAGTATATGAACAGCATTAAATAGAAGTTAGGGGTTAAGAGAGGACAATTAGGAAGAAAGGCTCTAATGAGAGTAAAGCAATTGGGAATGAAGTAGAATGGCAAACACTATGAAGAGGAAATACCACACCTCCAAGCTTCGATTAGTATCATCCAACTAGAAAGAGACTTTCTTTTAGTTCAAGTACACAATAAGAGAATGAAAATTATGTGATAGGAAAAACATTAGTACAGATTAATATTTTACATAACCTTCAACTTATCAATTACTATTTTATCTCTTCCCATGCTTTCTTGAGATTGTAGAGAAATAGACACTTGTTGGAAATCATTAATTTGTTGCTAGACTGAAGGATAAATGAATAATGCATGTAATCTACAAGAAAAGAACAACAGAAATGGATTTTGATAGGCACCACTTAGGGCTTAAAGGGTTATGTTAAAAAACATCTCACAAAAATGTGATATTTGTTTTTACTAAAACTTAAGTTTTCCATGTAGCACTGTAAATTTTCTGATGAAATAGAGAAAATTTTACATGTAGTGTTCCTGTCTACCACTTTTACTACTCTGACCAACAGCAACCAAACTCTTGTAAGGCACATACCTCCCCGACACAACTGGGAGAAATGGTCATGAAATCACTACAAAACATTGGTAATCAAGGATAAGAGCTTTTAGTTCTTATGAACTCTGAAGAAGTCTCAGAAAATAACAGACAGCTTCATCGTGTGTAGGAAATAAACACTGAAGAAATTAAAACCAACTGGCTTACAGATCCAGCATCTAACAGCAAGTTCAAATCACTGTGAAAATGAAAGGCAGGAAAACTAGAGAGATGCATGTGGGTTTTTCTTGTCCATATCAAATGAGCGTGTTTACCCTGTTGATTGCCTCTGGAGCTGCTAAAACTTTATCAGCACTTTTTTTTGTTGTTTATTTTACAGGCTAAAACACTACTTGCTGAGTCCTGTTAAAAGCTGGTTACAGATAATGTTGTATACAAGCCTGAGGGTAACTAGCCCTTCCATTTGTCCCCTTCTCTAAATTCAATAACAGAAACAATTACATGGATGCTAAAATGGCACAAATGGGTCAGTGGCCTGTTTCTCTCTTTCTTTCTCTTTACCTATCCTTTCCTACCTTGGAGCTCAAGAAAGTTTAAGCTAGGGAAGGAGATGGAGAAGTGCTTAGGTATTCTTTTCCTTTCCCACCCTTGAATTGGAGAATAGAAAAGCATTACGGTCTCCCAAAACATGAGAGAGAACAAAATACCCATTGCTCTCAGACTTAACATTGGAATTCTGAAGCAGACATGCTTCTCTAGCACTCTAAAACCAAAACTAATATTCTTAAGAGAGAGTACTTTAGTAGGGAAACGTGATATTATTACATCATATACACACTTCCCATAAGCCACTAAGTGTCAGGAAAAGACCATAACATCAAAGATGATGTGGTAGCATTCTAACAAGTTTAAACTCAAAGATGAAATTTAAATAGCAAGATTATATTGTAAAGAGTCTAAACAAATGGTATTCTGGATACCAAAGGGTAAGGGAAGGCTTGGCTCCCAAGCCAGGAGGCTTGGGGAAGACAAGACAACGCAAAGTCCTACCTGGTAGGCATCAGGAATGTTGACGGTTTCTCCATGCTCCCCGACATAGCCAATGATGCCTTTGCCCCAGGGGACCTGCACCTCATTGGAGTTCTCTGTGCTGCTGCATGGCAGTAGGGGTGTTCCCGCATGCACATCGAAGAACTTGGAGACCAAGCTCTTTTTGCCAGCAGCTGCCCCTTCCACTAGGAAGAGAGAGCAGCGGTCAGCGTCCACCATGAGACAGACGAAAATGAGGATCTTGTAGCTCAGGCTGGTGAGGTCAAGGTCATTGGAGATATCCTTGACCAGTTCCAGAAAGAACTGCCGCTCATTGTGCTTTTTGAGGTGACACTTGTAGTCGATGGCTGGTGGGGGATACTGAGGCAGATTCACCCTTGACTCTAGCAGGGCACTGAGGATGTGCGCCGTGGTGGGGGGCAGAGAGCTGGCCTTCCGCAGAAGTGCCCTCCGCCGAACACTGCTTAGGGGCTCCTGGGCCCGGGATGTCACCTGTTCATCGTAGGTCCTATTCACATGGATGGCCTTGGAGCGGGCAAAACTCTTCCTCAGCTCTTTCTGAGAAGCTCTCCGCTGCAGGCTCCCATCGCCCCGGCAGCCACTGGCCCAGCTGGGACTCAGCGGAACCCCGCCACTGTCCCCACCGCCAGGAGTGGGCTGGCTGCTGGCAAGGCCATCTGCTCCAGTGCTGCCACCAACGCTGCTGCCGTCTCTGCCACTGCCATGGGCCATGCTACCCGTGCCGGCCGGAGCAGGCCTGGAGCCCGGACCACCCTGACCCTGACGGTGCCTCTGCAGCCACTTCTCCACCATCTCCTGCTTCCCCTTGCGCATCAAGTAATCCTCAAACAACTCTGGGTGCCGGTCCAGGAAAGTTTCCACTTCCCCGAAGTCCAGGCGGAAGCTTGCCATGGTCCCAAGCACCGCTCTTCTGGAGTCTCTACGCTTGGAACAAACGTTTAAGTGTCCTGAGGAGGAGGCCTCTAGCTGCCCCTACACATGCTCCACCGCGGCAGCATCCCCTCACCCCGGTCAGCAGGAGGTTGATCCCCAGCGGCAGAGTCCCGGCCCCGGAGCCCGGTCCTTCTTCGGCTTTGAGTGGCCGGCACCCACCCCGCCTCCTCGTCCTGCTCAGCCAGGGTGCCAAGTGCACCCGCCGCCGCTCCTGTCGCGGAAACCTGAGCTGCCGCTGCTCTAGCTCCCGCTGGCTGGCTGCGCTGCTGCTCTGCCGCCTCGGTAACCAGCTGAGTGGACCACAGCTAGAGGGAGGTGGGGCAGGACACGCCCCGGAGAGAGGCAGGGCGGAGGCTGCGGGAGGAAGAGGCGCCGAAGCCAAAGTCCACAACTAAGATGCCAGGCTGTTCCTGGAAGAGTCTCCGGACCGCCAGAGTCTGCCTGGGGACGTAGCCGACTCTGGATTGGAAGTGGATGAGAAGGGGAAAACAGCCTAATTCCTTCCCCCTCCTTCCTTTCTTATCTCCCTGGTCGTCCCCCTTCACCACCCCCTAAATCTTCAGTGTTTCACCGCGACCCTGGGGATGGGGGGGGGGAGCCCCAATACAGCAAGTGTTGATGTTTTACAAAGATCCGAACTTAGACGCCCAGAAGTCGACTCCGCCGAAAAGATGCTCAGTCACAGGCTGGCTTCTTTTTCTGGGATGAGACTGTGCACTGTTGGTTGTCAGGATTCCAGGGTCTGCCCAGTACTTGGTGGCTGTTCAGTAAATATTAATGGAATTGCATTTCTCTGAAATTACCAAGTGAAGCTTCCTGTGAAAGCAACTCATGGCTTTACCAAATTCATTGATAGAGCAGGTGGGCATGTGCAGGGAGGACACAAAGTACAGTGACTTGGATTAGAGCACCTGCCTAGCAGGGCCTTGTAGCACCGGGGACCTGAGGGCCTCTAGCGCTTCCTTCCCGCCAGTCTGGAACAATGGACAGCTCTCTGCCTTTCTCAGATTTGCCATCTCCATTTTGTTTCTCCATTGAATCTCATGGGGCCACTAATGCTTCCTTTATACTCCATGTCCCAGGGCTTATGCACAAAGATTTCTCCTCTAGGGCAGAGGCTGTTCCTTCTCCTGGCCTGGGAATGCTTCGGATCTGGTTGATCAGGCTGAAAATAACATCAGGTTTCCCTTGGGCCTTTTTTAAACCTAGTGGCTAAGCCAGGTGATTAGCTCAAAAGAGGAGCTGCTCAGTGACACTTTTTTGAACCCTGGGGGGTTCTTCTTTTTCGGGAATACAAAAGCAGATGGAGAAGCTGGGACAGCAGGTGATCCAGGATGTCCAGGATGCAATCAAAGAGCTGCAGAGGAGGCAGGTCCAGACTTACACTGGGCCTCCCTGTGGTGCACATGTGTATGCACACACACACACCTCCCACAGAGTAAAGCTTCCTTCACAAGTTATCTGCAGAGCCAAACAGACAAGGTGCACTGATAATCTGGTCCAAGTTGATCACTTTCTAGTAATGAATCAGTGTAATGCTTTCAACAGACACACTTAAAGATGAAAAAGCTCTGAGAAGTTGAGTAATTTAACTCAAGGCCCACAGTCAATCCATGTCAGAGCAGGGATGCATATCATTTACCTAAGTTTCGGGGGGAAACTCACTCTTAGCCAAGTCACTGAATAGTCTTTCATCCTTTTCAGCTACACAGATCTGTGCTGCAGGGACTAAAAATGTTCTCTGCACATCCCCTTGATGGTACCAAAAAAAAAAAAAAATAACAGGCAGAAAGATAGGCACTTGTTCAAAACTTTCAAATTTCTCAGCTTAATCAGCAAAATAAAGGGCATGGCTTTAGCAGTGGACACAAGTATGACAACAAGGGGGCTTGTTCAGGGGGCTGATGTTATAGTGGGAAAATAGCCAGAAAATCAACATGTAGAGTAAAAGAGTATCAAGGTGAAGTTCTATGAAGAAAATTAATGGCAAGGATTTGATAAAGGAATACAGTGGAAGAAAAACCTTTCTGAAGAGAAAACACCTGAACAGAGACACGATGGAAATGAGCAAACAAGCTTTACTAATATCTGGAACAATAGAGTGCCAGTTAGAAGAAGCACATGCTAAAGTTGTGAAATGTATTTGAACTATTTAAGAAACAGCAGGGAGGTCAGCTAGGAGAAAGTGGACTAGGCGTAGAACACTGATAGTTGAGAGCCAATGGCCAACAAGAAGGTGAATAGTAAAGAATTAAGGGAAAAATACTTAGCACAGTGTCCAGCACAGAGAAAGTGTTCAGTAAATGGTAGTCAACCTAGTACTTTTATTTTTATCATTAGTATCCTAATGTGCTAGTATGTGGAAACCTCAACACATGGGGTCATATTTCTGGTCATGTGAGTGACCCTCCAGGAAAGACAGTTAATGGAATACTGGAACTGGCTCACAGGGACTGACAAGAGCCTATTTTTCACCTCTTTGCAATCTGTGCTCAATCCCATCGTGTGGCCTACAATCAGCCATGATGGAAAAGTTTGCACTGTGGAAATCAACAAATATTCCTAGTCAAAATTTTTTTGTATACTACCAGTTGTTAAACCATTATGAGTATTCAAGAGAAACTAAATGTCCATCAATTCATAAATGGAGTAAAACATGACATATTCATATACTGAAACAGTACTCAGCCATAAATGCAAAGGAAGCCAATCACAAAGGATTGCATTATGTACGATTCTGAATAGGTAAGTTCACGAGGCAATAAACTGATTACTTTCTGGATGAAATGAAAGCAGAATAGTAGGGGTGAGGGTATTGGTTTGGGGAGGAAATGTAATGAAAATGCCCTAAAACTGTGGTATTGGTGGTGTCTGCAATGAGAAAATATGTTAAAGTTCATAGACATACATTTTAAATGGATACATAGAAGGATATGTCAATTATATCTCAATAAAGCTGTTGTGAAACAGCAACAGAACCATTCACATGCTAGTGAATGTACACTTGTGCATGATGTTGTGCATGATGGCAAGGAAAGCACTGAATATCCTCAAGGATGAGGAGTGGAACAACCCTGGGTCCCCTGGGAAGAGAAGGCTTAAGAAAGGCACATTTCCACATACTCATTATACAAGCAGTCATTTAGCATTTACAATGCTCAGGGCTCTGAAGACAAAAGAAGACCAAGATAAGAACTCTGCTTTTGATAGAGGTCCTCAGTGAACAGCTCCAGGAGTAGTAGGAGAAGAGATTGCTGGCAAGGATGGAGAAAGCAGTAAGAGAGCACCAGGAAGTGGATTTGGCACTTGTGAGTTGTTTCTAATTGGCTGTAAACTGCTTGGCACATGAAGTCATTAAGGGAATTAGTGGCTGAGGAAGAAAGGAAGAAAGTGACGAAGATATTCTACAATTTCCATTTCATTTTCATTTTCAATCTGGACAATGGTATACGTATTAGTCATAGTCTCAATAGGAGACAGAATACATTCAAATTAATTCTAGAGAATTATATTACCAAGGGGTAATTAAAGGGTGTAGATAAACCACAGGGATAATGAAGGAACCTGGAAATCTAAGCAGCGAAGTCACCACCCCTAGACCTGATGGGAAGAGAGAAAGGTTACCAGTACCCAGAAGGAGAGAGCTTACTGTAATGACAACTGCTTTGAGGGGGATACGATGACCTGTAAAGAGGATGGACAACTCAAGTAGACCACAGAGAGGTCTATCAGAGCAAACACCTTGGATTCATTCTTCTCCCTCCATCCTTTCACTGACCAGAGATAACTGGAAGCTAGATGGTATTGCAGTCTGCTGACAGAACCCATATAGATCAAGCTCCCTGCGCAGAAAGTAGGGGAAACAAAGAGTGTGAAAAATCAGGAGGTAAACAGAAAACACTTGAGCCAACATGGAATCCTGAAGAAGTATCTTTAGGAATAAAATAAAAATATTTCCCTTTTCAACATATAACACCAAAGAATTTTCTGTGTAATTCTGCCCTCTTCTGCTCATCTGTTAATTCCATCAAAACAGTTACAATAAAGTCTCCAACAACATTTGAAGGCTAAAGAACCCCTTTATCAGCACAAACTATATCTTTTAAAAAAAAAAAAGCACGGTACTATAAAACTAAATGTAATATTGTGAAGATATTGTGCAGTCCACAGACTCCATTATGGCAATATGATACCCTAAAAGGTACAGTATTGTGAAGGGAAATCAGTTAGGTCCAACAAATGTTGGGCAGACTCCTTCCTACCTGTTCTCCAACCTCTTCATATTGCCCAAGTATCATCTCACTGGAGAAGATAAAAGGATCTTCCTATTTGACTTCCAAAAAAGGAAAATTACATTTTAGTACTGGGTAGAACCAAAACAGACACATAATTCCTCAGTTCCTGGTGCCACCTTCTCAGCATTGCACAGCTTGGTACTAATCTCTTGAAAAACCAATAAAATTCTGCCTCCCAAGCTTTCTCTAATCATTCCATCTCCAGAAACAGACATCATGACTCACTGTGTGCCCTTAGGTCACCATCTGATATGTAAGGGATGCTGATGCAAAATGAAACCACCTCAAATTTAATTGCTTAAAACACTGATTTTTCTACTTCCCCCAATACTATTGGTTTGTCAGCAGCTCTTCCATTCCACTTGGTATTACCTGAAATCATTCAGCTAGATGCTAGGCTTAAAGGCCCAGGAAAGTCACTGGGACAAAGCTAAGGTCTCAGTGTTGACTTCACTGAGCTGACTTAGTTCTCCTCCAGGAGAAGGTAGTTATGTCATCATTTTTTACATGGCTTCTCCTTCCAATAGACTGGCTTGTCCTTCCTTACAGAATTGCAGTAGGATTCTAAGAGGGAATGTTCATGATGATAAGACAAAGGTGCAGAAGCCTATCCACTTACATGAGACTTGCTATTGCTAACATCCTATTGGCGGAAGCCGATCCAAAGCCCAGTGCAGAGTCACTTTGAGGGAAGAAAAAGGGTGTGGGAACTCAGGTATTATTTACTCAGGGCCAATGATCCAACAATTGACTGTGCACTTCTCTAGTGAATTCCAGAACCACAGTTCCAACTGCTTTAAGACCTTTGCTCCTGAATGTCAGATATATCGAATTCCTCATTTCCAGGTCATTGTCACTCTTTCCCACCTTAAATCATTTGACTCTATCTCAGAAATTTCTCTTGGAATCCAGATCTACCTCCAAACCCACTTTCCTTATGGCAAGTTTTCATTATCTGTCTACTTATTTACC